TTGGGCCTGGTCGGTCCACGGCTGGACAGAACGGCAAACAGATCGGCTGTCTGTTGTTTGACCAACCTCTTGATAACCACTTGAGTGACGGTGGTCGCCTACTATGAGAAGCTGGGAACCACAGTTCAAACGACAGTTAAAAGAATTTAAACTGCCATTTGGCCCTGGTCGGTCCACGGCTGGACAGAACAACAAATAGATCATAGTGTGAAGCATCTACATTATTCTATAATGATGAGGATGATGATCTAATACGGAACGTAATCTCTCCATGATATCCATGTGTAGTATGTCAACACAGTGTCACATACCCAACGACTAAGGTCGAGATCGACAGTTCAATGATGACACTCCTCGAAATGCTCGACCATGAAATAAAGAGCTATCTGTCCCTTTATTTCGTACGTTCGTCAATCCGTCCCTTTATTTCGTACGTTCGTCACTCCGAAACAAACTACAGTGGAGCACAAGAAGGTGCCGTAAGTTTGTAACTCCTAACAAACTCCAGAGAGCCTCCCTAGTACCTACCAGGCACAATCAGGGTGAAGACGGTGATCACGGTGAAGACGGTGATCACATTACGTTTGTTCAAAGAGGACGATGATCACATTTTTGCAGACAGCCAACAGTTAGATATCCCGGAAAACGGATGTCATTGCTCACGGCGATGCATCCTCCGAGAAAATGTCCAAAGCTTTGAAACCTAAAGCGATCTACAGTTCAGACGAGGCATAAGCCGGATCGAAGGATCGTGACGATTGCCGTACTCTCTACAGGGAGCCAAATACTCCCTATTCGAACGGGACGGTGGTACCAACAGGATGACAAAGACCGTACTAAATGGGACCACAACAATATATATTTGGAGTCCCACAGGTTGGTACCAACTAAGTGGGACCCTATTTGAACGGGACGGTGGTACCAACCATATCATAACGGCAATGATTTTGGGACTCCATCGGAACTGATCGGGATCGGGACATCGACTATTTTGTAATATTATATGTGGAGTCCCACAGGTTCGGACTATGGAACTGATCAGGACATCAACTGTTTCATAATATTATACGTGGAGTCGCACAGGTTGGGACTATGGAGGACTTGAACGGCGACTTCACATATTATGATTTCAGAAACGGTATCATAACGGCAATGATTTTGGGACTCCATCGGGACTGATCAGGACATCGACTGTTTTGTAATATTATATGTGGAGTCCCACAGGTTAGGACTATGGAACTGATCGGGACATCAACTGTTTCATAGTATTATATGTGGAGTCCCACAGGTTGGGACTATGGAACTGATCCAGACATCGACTGTTTTGTAATAATATATGTGGAGTCCCACAAGTTGGGACTATGGAACTGATTGGGACATTGGCTCCGGGAACTGAGTGGTACATTCAACATTGAGAACAAGAGCGGGCAGAGTCTGAGCCTTAGATTTGGGAACATCATTGATTGTACCAACAGCCTGAAGGCCAACACGTGGGTGGCTCCTACCGCAGCAGCTACCGAACCAGGTCATGATACAACTCCCTTGCCGCAGCAAACAGCACAAGCCGGGATTGGAGTGCGAGAACTGCAAGAGGTCATTACTCTATTTACACGTGTCATCCTTGTGTCGGGGCCACGCTAGTAATCGTTTTTTCTGTGTATTGTTCCAAGCTTGTCACCCTTGCACAGGATGCTAATCTTCTTTCTCTGTATCGATCCAATTATGACAGATGTCCCGAAGGACTGGAAGAGGTGATTACTAAAATCAGCATATTAATATTATATTATTCATTGATTATCCATTTAATTCCATTATCCTTATCCTCTCCTCTCCTCTCCTTTCCTTTCCTAAAGAGGTAACTCTGCAGGCTTAGCATCTGCTTATCAGGTGGTGTTTAAGTGGGAAAGAAGATTGATCAGCACGAGCTTGAGAAATTTGTCATGCGACTGAAGAATTTCAACGGAGGACTGCGGCACAGCCTAAGGCTGCGTGCACAGCCTAAGGCTGCGTGCACAGCCTACGTGACAAGATGGGGATCGTGTTGAAACTTGGTGGTTGGGATGAACTCTTTACTCATACAACAAAGAGCTGCACTGTCTCTCCGCACCCGGCAGAAAATAATTTGTGGCTTTCACACACACTTCACTACTACATCCTCCACAAAGAAGTCAAAATCGGCGCACTTAACAGCCATTTGCTCTAACCACTGAGCTACTAGAGACCTTTCTATTGTCGTATTTTTTTGATAGTCTTTTGAAAATCTATCATATTTTGTTGAAAAACATCTTGTCTTTTTAGTCTTATGCATGGTAAGTACTATAGCTCCAATCATGGCCAGCTACAGTTAATACGAATAAAGCAAATAATTGACCCATCATGTCATCTAGATAAACAGAAAAGACTAAAAAGTTCAAATTGACAGCAAGTAACATTAACTCAATTGACATTAACTCAATTGACATTAACATAATAAGGATATTCTTTCTATTTAAAAAGATTCCCCAAATACCTAAAAGAAAAAGAATCATTGAAAATGTTAAATACATGATAGCTTTTTTAGTTCTGGAAGCTTTCATGATTGCTGTGTTTTGCATGCTAGATCTTCTACTTTTTTATGTGTTCTTTGAAAGTGTTTTAATCCCTATGTTTATTATTATAGGGGTATGGGGTTCTAGACAGAGAAAAATACGAGCAGCATATCAGTTTATCTTACATACTTTACTTGGATCCGTTTTCATGCTCTTGCTCCCAAATCATACACACACCATCCCATCCCATCCCATCCCATTGCCGAGAGGACTGAATTGATAGCATGAAGCTGAGGCACCAAGACATCAACATGATGAGCCTTATTATTATCCAATAAAGAATCGAGTCAGAAAAAGCGTCCCCATGACGAGCCGTATGCTGTGAAAGCCGAGTCAGCAAAACATCACTACTGACTGAGTCAGCAAAACGTCACTACAACACTGCAAAACTGTCGCGTCGTGAAATCGCCATTCCCTAACAAATTACACGCGGTGATTGGTGTAAACCTCTCACAAATTGCACATGGTGATGACCATCTCCTTGATTTCCACATGCCCATTAGCCATTAGATGTCCTCAATTATTTGCGCACTGCACTGCAGCAAACTATCCATCGACTAAAGTCTGCATCAGTACAGCAGCTCTCACATTGCTCCTTCCAAATCCCAGGTTACCAGCAGTGGCTCCTCACTTACCGCAGAAACTCTCAAGAAACTGCAGTGCGTCATCATCATCCAGAATTACCAAAGAGTGGTCACAGTTATTGGAGCACTGCAGCAAAATCTCAGTCTACTTCAGTCTGGACTTTGGATCTATGCAGCAGCTCTCTGCGCCTCTCTCACATTGCTCCCTCCATTCCCAAGTTACCAGCAGTAACTCCTCACTTACCGCAGTAACTCTCAAGAAACCGCGGTGGCCTGTCGCCTGCAATGCCGGTAAGTTGGTAACTAACTCTCACCTAACCAACATCACGATAGCTGTGGGATGTAACTTGCGATCATGACGGTAATTAACTTGCGATCATGACAGTAACTAACTTGCGATCATGACGGTAACTAACTTGCGATCATGACGGTAACTAACTTGCGATCACGACAGTAACCAACTCTCGACTAACCAGCATAGCTTCTCCTCGTTTACCACATAGGGGGGCAATTGTGAAGGTAACGACTACGACTCGGAGTCACTGATGCAGAACCAAGACAGTCAATCGAGTGAACCCGCTGTCAATCTCCCAGTTCAGCCGCAGGTGAAGGGAGATGAACCACAGTCAATCGGAAGCTGTTCAGATACATAAAAGTTACCGTAGCACACAGAAGGTACACCATTCCAAGGCTCTGCGAACGAGAAGCAAGGTTCAAAAACTGCTGTTCTTCTGATCGCCACCATGCCCCCATTCTGGAGATAGGCACCAACAGCTGACCGGCGACCACGCCTGCTGTGTACCGAAGTCCCTTAACTACAGTTAGTTAACACTCCAAACATTAGACTATAACATTTTTCCTGTAGCAGCCCCCTTATTATTAAACGTACAAAACATTAAAGAAATCTTCAGCTGAAAAAAAAAACCTAAGCTGCTAAGAGGTGAGAATTTCTCAGAAATGACAGAAACATTTAAAACCACCTTAGTCAAAACTCCAAACAAATTCGATGTCATCCAATCCACTTCATAAAAAAAGCCTATCAACAGGTGTGAAACACTAATTAAAAGAAGAAAACTCTCAAGCTCTGTACTGTAACAAGATTCTACAGATTCCAGAAAAGGAAAAAGAACAAGCTTGCACATGATTCAGAATCCCTACAGTTCTGTCAAATACAATTTTATGAAACATCACAAACACAAAACTTTAATAGTCTCTAATACAGCTCATTATTACCACCGACAAGCGGCGACAACCACTGTTAACCTCTCCACTAATGGACTAGTAACAGTCTCTTCAGCTTTCATATATATATATAATATTGATGCAGAAAATTCCAAGTTCCCACTTCTCTTCATTTCTTATAAACCTCATAAAAAAAATATCTGCCTTCTCCAGACAGCATACACTGTCAAATTCCCTTTCAAGTTTTCGACAGTCAACAGCCCTCTGACCTGACTACATTCCCGCTTCCTCCTACAGGACTTCCTCCTACAGGAGCTGGACCTGGTACGGAGCGCATCCGTTTCTGCAGAAGTCAAACCACCGTTTGACCATCGTTCACCCTCACAGTAGGTGCGAACACACACTTCTTCACCAGAGTCAAACTCACAGTCAACATCCGTTGACTTTGACTGCGACAATGAGAACCTCGAGCTGACCAATCCACAGACCCTGGCTTTGTTGCTCGAATCTGTTGGTCAAATCTGGTTTGACCGAGATGGTCTCCGCTGGCTAAACCTGTCATTTCGAACTGTCTGTCAGTCAAACGAACCGTCAAACACACAGCTTCATGGGAGGTGCTGCCCGTGGACGACTGCAAAAAAAGAATTTAGCAGCAGCACCGTGCTGTCACAGGCGAGTCCGAGTGACCTTCACACGTGTTCGTCCCGCCGACGGATGGCTTTGTTGTTCATGGGTTGCTGCCATCAATCACCCTACTATGAACCTTTCAGTAGCTTCGCTGCTCCCATAGCTGATCGATACTTTACACAGGTTTTCAACTCTACGGTGTTTACACAGAGTGTCGTACGGAGGTCTCCAGGTTACTACGTACAGCATTGGGGTCAGGACAGCACGGGTTCACGAAAACAGAAGGAAGATTGGGAGACGGTCAGTCGGCGATCGATCGACGGACCGATCGAGTGTCGTACGGAGGTCTCCGGGTTACTACGTACAACATTGGGGTCAGGACAGCACGGGTTCACGAAATAAGAAGGAAGATTGGGAGACGGTCTCTTATACACATCTAGATGTGTATAAGAGACAGGTCTCCGGGTTACTACGTACAACATTGGGGTCAGGACAGCACGGGTTCACGAAATAAGAAGGAAGATTGGGAGACGGCCCGTCGGGCGATCGACACACCGATCGACCGACCGACCAAACATCTTCGCTGCAACAAGGCAGCACCCATGGCTGCCCTACCGCCGTCATACCTAATCAGTCAGATGGAGATTTACGAACTCACGGCGACTCGGAACTGCCAGGTGCCAGTCTCTGAAAAATGGGCAATCTTCTCATGTTCCCATCGTCCTCTTTGAGCGGACTTGAAGCAATCAGCTTAGCAGCGCCTGCCGCACAGGATGCCGGCCTGGCGCACGGGCTTGAGACTGGGCTAGGTGGATCAGGCTGTAAGGCTGTCCTATAATGGATGAAGCGGCAGCGTGTACCATATGGGCATGTTCCATTGGAGCTGAAGGTGCGACAGATCTGCATCAACCGAACAAGAGAGAAGAAAAGAGAGAGAGAGAAAAAAGGAAACCAGAAGAATCAAAGAAATAATGAGACCAACAACAGAGAACCAAACAACCAAAAAAAGAAGGTTAAAAAAGAAAAAGAAAAACGGCAAAGCAGTGAAATCACATTTTCCGATTCCAATGATATTATTCGGTTTTTTCCTTTGGCCTTGTTTCTAGAGTATAATTTCATTTCAATATAATTGCAGACACTTCCCTTTAATACGAACTTTGGGTGGCTTAGTACAACGTTATATGATTCTGGCAGCAAATTGTGCGACCTTTTGTCGGTTGATTCCAGTTTAACGAAAAATTGAACAAATAAGGGCAGGCAAATTTTAAGCAAAACACACGAACCAAAAACAACGCCGGGATTTTTTTTTTTTTTAATTCCTTGTGCAGGGGCCATGCTAATCTTCTCGGTATGGTTCCAATTTTAACAGATGTCCCCTTGATTGGACGTTTCATATCAGGACGAAATCCTAATTTCAAGATTAGTACGGAGCTATAGGGATATAATTTACCTTCTTCCCTCGAATACAACCTACGGTAATTATAGCTGTATTTGGGGCATCTTTCAGTATGAATACAGCTATAATATGGACCTCGTCAATTTTGACTGGGCCTTTTTTTCTTTTGCATCCT